GCATTACTGGGCGGTCATGAGAGCCGTCTCTGTTTCGACACGCTGCGGGGGGGGGGGGGGGGGGACGACACGCACAGGCCTGCTCCAAATCTCCAGCTAAATACCTCAATGTTGCATAACATGGCATCCGGCTAACAGCAGACTATCAAAACCCCGACTCCCTCCATAAATCCTTCCATCTGAGAGAACGCCATCACGCTTGATTTTTATCCAACCGGGAACTCTGACGGTGGCCCCATGACAAGAGGCACCCAGGTTCTGCATGTGGCACACGGCTGGGATTAGCTAAACGGTGGCCAAGGGTGACAGCTAGGCCAACTTTTGAGCAAAGAAGCTGTAACAGTGGCTGATCACATCCAATTACAACACAAATTAAAGAAAACGCTGCTTAAGCTTAGCTCAGGTAAACTAAGAGTGTGTGAGTTTGAATCTTGTAAGCACGACAACCAGGTTTTAAGATAACGGGTATAAAAACTGACTGAGTACTGAGCTCTCAAGATCCTCCATTAGCCTATATTCACCCCAAAAAAAATCAGTCAGAGAGAAGGTGATCCATGTAACTCTCTAGATGTCCAATTTAGAAAGAAGTACCTCACAGTGTTTGTGCACAGTGTGCCACCCAGCACCTCACCTTTCTTCCTCTTCTTTCAGTCTGCGCGCAGCCTGCTTTGACTGTTTGATTTGCAAGTCCAGTCTGTGTAAGAAGTCTTTGGCTGACAGCTCCTCTGGCTGGGGTTGGGTTTGGGTTTGGGGCGGTTTGGAGTCCTCGGGGGGAGGAGAAGGAGACGGCGAGGGCTCCTCGATATCCTGCATCACGACGCCGGGGGGGTCTGCCTCGCGGCATCCCGTCTCCCCGTCCCCATCTGGAGACTCCAGAGACAGTCCGTTAAAGATGTAGCGCTTCTCCGACAGCACGGGGATGTTCAGGCTGTTCTTCAGGAAGATGCAGTCGTTGCTGAACAGCTTATTGGCCCTCTTGATTTGCTCCATCTGACAAGTTGGGGTGACAGTGAAAAGAAAACAACAAAAAAACAAAGTTCAGTGGTTTGTCTCTATGCAAGAAACAGCTTTCATGTTCTTAAAGCTTGCATTTCCTCTTTCTCCCCTGGAACCAGATAATTCCACTCACAAATACACTGAATTAGTTTTATCTACCCTATATGGCCCCCAACCTGTTGAACTGTAGATACCTGATGTTTAGTTTCTATTATCTTAACAAGATTTCTTTTGCTCTTAATACAGAGTTTCCAGAGTTAACAAGAAATGAAACTGAAACTAATCAAGGACCAAAAGCCTGTTTTATTCCCCTTTTGTTGGAAGCTGGGAGTTTACTGCTTCTGCTTCCTCTGTGGTGCTGAAACAACTCAAACCATGGCAACCAAACTTGACCGGCTATAGGGTTACATTTGTGCCCTTAAGTCTGATGTCCGTTCCGGGGGACATCAGACCAGGAGATGGCAGCTCGGTGGTGCAACCTATACAACGTGTCCACGTTCAAATGCACCGGCATGATGCCCTGGGAAGCTCCCTTTATAACTCAGAAGGCTTTTTTTGTTGTTGTTTGCTGTCGTGGCAGAGTAGCTACCTTACCGTTACACCATATTTCAGAGCAATCCCTTGCAGAGTATCGCTGTCCGTAACCCGATGCTCGACGTATTTCTCCCCCAGAGAGGCCGTGACGCTGGCCGTGCTCCCGTACGAGCGGATCTTGGTCCGGGCCAGGCTCTGGGACAGTTCGCTTTCGGACTCGGAACCGGACCTGGACCGCGGGAAGATGGGCTGGGTGAAGCGTCCACCTCCATCCCGCATCGGCAGGACGGGTGAGAACTCCGCCATCTTCTCTTGAATAAATAAAGACCCCGGTTACCTGTTTGTTTTTTTAACGCTTCGGTTGGCTCGATGCAACCAAAACTAAAGCGCTGCTTCGGGCGAAGGGGGCATTTCCATCCCGGGACATAGATAGCACGTCAGTCCCCGAAAACTAGGCATGTTGAGGGACCATTACCTCACAGCTCCCTTTTGTCGTACATCCGCTACATTGACGTAAAACGTATCATACGTAGAAACGTCCCGAGGCAACGGCGAGAAATCAATTTCCGGTTACTCTTTCAAAATGATTTCCTCCTCGCGCAAACTAACATTAAAAATGACAAGCTTGGCTTTTTGGTATCCAACAAAATATGGAAACTAATTAAACTAACATGAGCGCTGTAATTCAATAAAGAACGAAAACATATCGATTAGTTTTGATTTTCAGATCAAATAAAGTTTCCAACTTCCGGTAACTACGTGCAGCCGTTATCTTTAAATAAACTTTATTTACAACACCCTCGTTACAACAAAGATGCAGAAATTACTTAAGAATAATTACGAGTTACTGACTGAAAACGGTGAACATCAACTGGAAATACTGTTTATACCAACACTATCTATAACATGCAAAAAAGACTTATTTCTCATATTCAATCAAAATCTAACCTATTTCCTCTCATTTATCTTTTAGCCAGTCATTGATTTCAGGCAATATGAGTTTCTCAGAATGTTATAAAACAAGACAAAAGTAAAACATTGAAAAGTAGTGAAGAGATAAATGGAGAAAGTGAAATGTTATAAATTGCCCATAAAGGAAATAGCAGGGAGGTTGAAATAAGACACTTAACATGCAAGCTGAAAATCAAGAAAAATCCTTTCATGTGAAATTACTCCCAAAAACACACATCTAAAATTTAAAACCACTAGATCATGCTATGTAACCCATTGTAATTTGACCTCCTGTGAAATAAGTTCCAACCAACAATTTTTCAGCTATAAGGACAAAATGAATTTCCAAGATTAAGAGACAAATTTAACCAAAAAGTATTTTAGACTAAAAAGTAAAAGACTTGTGCCATGGAAAAAACAAAAACAGCTGGTCATTTGCAGTTCATGTTTGAAATTGTAAACAGGAGCCTAACTTTGCACCCTGATTACAGAGATAAAAATGCACCTTGACAAAGTGGGCAGCCACTTCTGGTGGTCAGCCATTTTAAAACAGCAGATGTCGGTCTCAGAAGTGTATTATTGTTTGCCTGGTCAAATTTCTTCTTCATGGTACTGAAAGAAGTATTTTAACAAAAAACATCAACTTTGTAATGAAATTAGTACAAATAATGAGTAGGCCTACCGATATATGACTTTGTCCAATATCTTGAACCAATTGTGTAGATCCAGTTTGTATTGTTAGATTAAGATAAAGTGAAACATTACAGGTAAATAACTATGTAGCACAACCAGACCACAGAGGGCAAAACACATTATGAGGAAGGACTAGTCTCAATTTGACACTGTGTGGAAACATTTAGCAGGAGTCTGTCACCAAAAACCACAACGTTGTGATGTGTTTAGTTTCAGCTTTAAGTGACTAACTGTGTATGAGCACAGTGTATTTTCCTCAAGTGTCACACTACAAAATCTATAAGGACACATAGAGGAATTTTCTAATCTGGAAAATCCCGAAATCTGTCATATGAGGAACCACAGTTTAATAAATTGAAAATAAAGTTGAAAAGATCCAAGTTCTCTCTGGAATCATATTGACAACTGCAACACAAGCAAAACCTTTAGAATGAAAAAAACAACATTCTGCTGTAGTAATAAAAATCTGATCTTCATACATCGGTATACTGAATAATAGAATTATCAGATTTTTTTTAATGCTTTTAGATTTAATCAGCAGTTATAGTCAGGAATAGTTCTTTTCCTATGTTTGTTACTTCCTATCTGACTGGTGCTCCTCTCAGTTAAAAATATGACAAAAACATCAAGGAAAGTTTTTTTTTACACTAAAATGGGCGGCAAACCTAGAGAAAGGCCAATCCATCCCTTCTGTAGCAGATATGACTTGTCCCAGGAGTGTATACTGATCACCTTTTTCCTCTAAACTATGTAATCTTCTGCTGAAATAACACAGTTATGGACTGAATCCACACATGATCTTATTTAAAATATGAACCTCTCATGACTTGAATGTTTTCGCTGCATGATGTTTCTACATCTTAACACTGTTCAGTCGCCATAATTGAATCATATTTAACAGTGTTTTCAGTTTAGCTTCTAACATGTTTGTTTATTTCATTATCACTCACTTTGTCCTGTGTGTGTCCACACAGGATGCTGTCAACTAAGGAGAGTCACATCAGCTTGGTCTTACCTGTGGTATAACCAATAAAGAATTTGAATTATACCAGTTAATACAACATTTATGTGATATCTAATCTGAAAACTTAAAAGAGAACAGCCGATCTGTTCTCTTCGTGCATTCATGAGTGAACATTTTCCATTTGCCTCCTGTCACTCCCGTCTGTGCTGTCCTTGTTTTTCGTGGATAATCAGAAGGCAGGCCGGGGGCTCGAGTGTTGAGCTAAGAACTTGTTTGATTCACTCAAACAAATGAATCGTGGTGATACAATACACTGGTCATACAAATATTCCAAACGGCCATAATGTAGTCTCGTGGCAGATAATGTGGTCTCTGCTCTCTTCAACAGGAATAGGCCAGCTGCAGGTGCCCCTTTTGAGATGCATGAAACCAGAAAGACGAGACCGAACAAGTGGACTCGTAATCCCACGAATGCTTTATTCATTCAATCAGTCTCCGATGGTTATAGAAGGTGCCGTGACAATCTCTCTGGCTGACATTTTCTGATGGAAATTAGGCCATTAAACTTATGTAAAAGTACAAAGAGGGACAGGGAAGAGGGAGCTCAGGTGCATTAATTATGCAGGATGTTCTCAATAAGAGATGGCCCTCTTTAGCCCGAACTGCAGAACAGTCAGGTATTTATTCAATATTTGCTCGGCATCTTTGTTCAGTCTTTGCTTACATGACGTGGAGATTTAAAAAAAAAAATCTCATTGTCATCTGTCCCAGTGTAACCATGACAACAGTCATCTCCCTGAGAGCTCCATGTTTTGTAATACAAGCACTTCCACATCAGTCACCCATTAGTTTCCCTTTGAGTAAACTCAAGGCCGCGTCTCGTTTAATTGCCTCGCGTTTCGCGTCAGTAACAATCGATATAGCAAATAACAGGTGACCGCTTTTACACAACTTATCTTAGATAACTTAAAATTATGCGACCGGTAAATCATGAGGCGTCCCGTTTTATCTCTTTGTTTTTCATTTAGAGAATGGGTCCACCACATCCACCTTTTTCCAAAAAGGCCTCGCCTCTAAATTAGCCTGTTTCTGACCCCTAGTGGTCAGTTTTGGTTTCAAATCTGTGTCTTGTTCAAAATGTTCTCCCAGCAGATGGTGCAAGTTTATTACCAGTGTAAATGCACACTTTTAAAGAAGTTAATAAAAATTAGACGGGACCTAGCCTTTATTTTCTTATAGGCAGATGCTTTTCCTTTTAAAGGTGTACTGTAAAGATAATTCTCTCTGGTAAACGGACACAAGCTTTTTGAAGGTTTCTTTATCCAGAAATATACACAAGCCACCATGAACCATTCAATGAATGGAAATCCAAAAACTACAACAAAATTGCTACACTGATGCCTTGCTTATTATGTCCAAGTGTTTATTTTCATACCATTCTTTTATTTTTTCTTTAACTCCCCAGTTTTTCCTTTTCGTTCCTGCTAATGATTGTTTTTCCACCCTGCACTGGCAGCTTCAGTCAGCAAAATGTGCAAGACATTATGAGGCTGACGTAGATTTCCATTTTTAACCCAAAAAGGGGAGATATGAGTACTGCCTCGGTGGTATTTAAAGCTGATCGGACAAGATGGGCAAATTATTCATTTTAACATAATTTACACACACCGAAGAGGTTAATGAGGATACATTGCCACCATTGCCTACCAAAGGAAACAAGATCTTTCTGCTTTCCCAAATGATCAAACAAAGAGAGAAGAAAAGGAAGTGCAGAAGTCCTCCTTTTGGGTTTGATTCATTTAGGTTTTTCAGATACATACAATACATATTTTCAAAGAGACATTTGCGAATGAGTGAGTGCATTTGGAAGAAATACAATAATCGAAAAAATTTGCTGCCATTTGTCTTAACACAACTTTTTCCAAGTTCCTGACATACAGATATGTGATAGTTAGATGTGGAGGACTTTGTTTTGTTTTTTCCGTGTTTTTTTTTCATTATGAGATGAGAGCCTGTGATTTTCCAATCTCTTTTTCTTCTATAAGTCTCTGTTCTGTAATGACAGATTTCTAAGTGCTGCAGTCAGATTGCATGTTAAGCTTCAGATGACCAGAGAAGATCTGATTTAATGCTTCATCTTTGGGTAGATGGAGACCAAATGAATGGAGCTAAAGGGAATGGAGTCTATTTTTTTCCACATGCGGAGGCACTACTCAGAGGAACCGTTATAGAGCACTTACATAAGTGCCCAGATGTGCATTTGACTCAGATTCTGCTTTTAGGTCTGTATCTTTCCTTTGTGATGAAGCCATCTTGTGTGATCCATAGACATGACATAAACCTGATGTTCTTGTTCTTTTTTTTTTTCTCGCAGGAGGGAAACCCTTGGGTCATTCAGCCCCTCTACCCACCCCCCCCCCCCCCACCACCCCACCCCCCCTCACAGGGTCACAGCTCGCTGCCAGCAGTGCAGGCTTTGCTCCGACTCGCTGCTGCGGCGATGGAAACTCAGAGAGGGAAAGAGTCATATACATTACATCATCTCTCAGGCATGTACAAACAATCTGAAAACTGGATCTAATTAAAGGCTGAATGTGTACACCGCCCAGGGATCCCTCCAAAAAAACAAAAAAAAAGCCCAGTTGTCAGCCTTTAAAGTTGCTATCTGAACAGGAAATTTGGGATGTCAGCCTGAGCTCTGCGATTCACTGGTTACTCTCAGAAGTGGGCGGTTTTTGGTTGGACTGTTAACTGTTTTATTTCCAGTGATGCTGTGTTTTTTTTTTTTTTTTACTGCTGGTCTTCATTTTTTGGGTCCAAAAGCAGTTCTCACTAATGAATGGACGGCCAAAAGACTCATGTACAGGAGAAAAAGGTTGTGATTCCAGCTCCTACTAATACCGTCATGAGGCCAAACTCACCAAAGAAATGGGAGGCTCATCGGCCACAGCTGTTTTGCATTTAATGCAAATCACAACCTCAGGTTTCCAAGACAGATTTCGTCATTTGAACCCCTTTGAACCAGAACATCCACGGCGAATATCATGTTCTGAAAAACAAAACAAAGATGGGAGTTCTGTTACCTTTAAGATTTCAGCCCAATTCTAGTTCCTTCCATCAGGTTTTCTCTCCAATCTATTGGGTATTATGGGCTAACAAGATGGGTGAAGTATCCCTTCAAAACTGACGAGTAGGTTCAAATGAAGGAGATATGCTCCAGCCTCAAACCAAACGTTACAAGTAATCTTTTTTTAAATCGCCTTGTACATCTTTTGAAATGATAAAAATACATTTAAAAAATCTACAAAAAATTCATCAAAATCTCCAGTGGTGGGAGTCTGGAGGAAAAAAGAACCAGATGTTCTTCCTCAGATCACGTGAACAAGACAATTTGCTCAAAATAACTAAATCCATCTTAAATTTTTATGTTAAAAAACACAGGACAAGTGATCTTTTGGAGTATGTAAAAACATTTATTGTTGAGGATGTTTTAGATTCTGCAGTGCATTTTACCAGTTTTGTGGTTTTATAATACATATTTCTTGTGTTTACACCTGGGACTTTATTTCAAGGTAAAAAAACTGAACTTTGCAGTGACTTGTACAGATGCTCACGGTGTGCATCTCAGTGTGTGCACACTTTAATCTTGAGATGGCATTCTACAGTTAATGTACATATGATCAGCAACAGAATGCTAATGTGCCCAAGCAAAGACGTTTTTCCACTTTAGTGAACTTTAGCTTTCCACGGTCCATGAGAAAAATGCAGGAATATAAAAACAAAGCTTCAAGGGTAAATGCTAGCAGATATGAAAAAGTGCACAGATATAAAAGCCCACAGTACAGCTCTTTTTTCCAACAAATGGATTAAAAAAAATCCTTTTTTTGGTCAACGGAAACATGATGTTCACAGGTGTGTGCTTTATGCCAGCATATTGTTCCTATAAACAGTATGTACAAGGTTCAAGTAGCTCCTGAAAAGGTCCCGTTTGAACCATTTGAACCAGACTAGCGAGGTTACATTTGATGCACAGGTGGAATGTTGTCATGCATTACATTGTGAATTACATGCTACCGCTGGGAACCAAATAATGGTTGTCTATAAACAAGGAAGGAAGGGTTCAATTCAAACTGTTGGACGATTAGCTCAAGGGATCATTTCGCAAAAAGTCGAAGCCTGGCTGGGAAACTGCTGAAGAGGAGTTGTTCCTCCGGCCACACTGAGCTATCTGATCAACATACTTACTATGAACAGCCTGCAAATACACACGGATCAAAGAAATTTAGCTCGGTGTAATCTAAAAACGTCTGGATCGTCGTGAATCAATCTACCCCTTCCTCAGATATGACCTGTGACACCAAAACCGTCAAGTGGACTACTGATCATTTAAGCACTGCTTGTCTTTGGCATGGTTGAGCATCAGAGGAGCAAAGTGTGTTGAGCCGATCAAAACCTTTCCCCATCTAAAGTTATTTCACCTTTTGCCATCCAATCCCACTTTTGTTTTCTAACCGAAACCTCATCTTTAGGAAACAAAACAAAAAAAAAAAAACAGAATTTTATCCGTATCAAAATAAGACTTTTAGTTAGAACAGCAGAGCAATTCTGAAAATGCAGACAAATCATTACAGTGCTTCTTTCATATGAAAGGTTCAGCCAAGAGTATGTATGGGTTTTTTGTTTGTTTCCTAAGAAACTTACAGTTCACACTAACCCTTAAAACAACCCCAGCTCAAAAGTCCTTGTGGCTTTAAGGCAGCTCTAATGAACACCACCTGCAAACCACCTTACTCACCACTCTGCTCAGCTACATTAGAGCCAACAGTCATTAGTGCATTAGGCAGCTGGTTTTGATGTGGCCACAGACAGCTGCTCAGGTTTGCAGGCTTAGCTCGAGCACTCTGTGCTCATTAGATGGACCCCAAGCTGCAGAAGATGTGAGGATCAAATTCAAAGCCACTGCTGTTGATCTGCTTACTGAATGCACAAATTCCATGCAAAAGTTAGACCTGAAAAGCAAACTAACAGAGTACAGATTACAGCGGTCTCTCAATGTTAGTTTCTGTTTTTCTTTTGTTTTCTGTTCTTACAATTCATAATTAGATGACATGATTATAGCAGTGTATAAAAGAGGTAAATAGAAAGGCTCAAAAGAGAAAAAAAAGAGCATCTGAAATGAAGTCACTAAAAACTAAACAACATAAGACAACAAAGACAACATAATATAACAAACATAAGAAGGAGCAGGTGAATAGCAGACGGCAATTCCAGTTATTTCCCTTCCTCTCATATGTATGTTCTGGTTTAGCGTGCCTTGCCCCGTAGTTTGGCACAAGACTAAAGTTTTCACATAGTGAGATGAGACCAGGGCATTGGCTGAAATTATTCCACATGATGAGATGAAAAGCAGGGTTGGCTGGCGGACAGGGTGTGCTCGGCCTCTACAGGTCCCCTTCCACTCGCCTCTTGCGGACTAAAAAAAAGAAAAAACAAAATACCAAAAGAATCATTCAAAAGATGTAACAGAATTTAAAAAAAAAAATCACATGCTGTGCACAACTTTAAACCTCCAAAGGCCTGTTAGTTTCTCCTTTAAGAAAGACTAATTGTGAGCTATGTGGTCAAAGTTTACACCCATGGCAACGGAGCGTTGAGAAATCAAGACATGAGATGTCGTCACTCTTAAACTGTGAGACCACACTGGGTAAGTTCTCAAACTGTTAATGGAGTGAGCGCTCTAGTCAAACACTGTGAGGAGAATGAGTGTTATCGCTGATGCACCGGCACACCCATGCATCAGACCTGTGCTATCGCAGCTCTGACGGGGGGAGGGGCTAAAAGAGAGAGCAGAGGTCAGCGCTGCAGCTGGAGGAAACTGAGCAGAGTTCTGCAACAATTTGTCACGACAAGCCGCCATGAACAGAAACCAGCTAATGACTCAGCCGGTTTGGTGGATATATGTTTGCGTCTCATACCTAGGTCGTTGTTCTTGGTGATAGCGGCGGCGGCCCTGGACCGAGGCCCTTGCTGGGTGAAGTGGTATCCAAACTTCACTATGCTGTGGTTCTCTTCCAACATTTTAGCTATCTCCATCTCTACGGTGGTGCCCAGCTGCTGCCTCTGAGGAGCACACAGACGAACCCCAGGTCAGAACTGGACTTTTCTTCAATGACAAACTGATTGCACTTTAACTCAACTAGAAACTTTGAGCTACAAATGTCTTCTGTTAAGGCAGTTGTCCAACATATCTTATACAACAATACGCTATTAGAATATGTGAACCCACTCTGATAGTTAATGATTATAACCACTGACATTTAACATTTAGTCTTATTTTATTTAATAGGAGTCAATGTACAACCAACAGTGTGTTTGTGTGTCTCCATCTCTTTGACTGACGCTTGGTGTTTTTAGCTGCTTACAGCAATGCTCTATAATTAGCTCTGATCTAAACAACATCAGAGAAAAAAACAGAGACAAAAGAAGCAACTAAATCCGAGCAGGAACAAATCTCTATAAAAGTTTTTAAAATAAAACATCCACTCACACTCGAGGTTAAGTCATAAGCCAGAGATGAGAGGCATCACTGCATTATGAGTGTAGTCTTTATTGTTGTTTTTTTAAAGAGTATTTTTTTTTGTCTTTTTGTGGTCACGGGCAATAAAAGTGCATTCATCATTATAAGCCGTTTGTACCTGGTTGTCTATCTTGATCTCTGTCATTGTGTCATTGTCTCGTAGTGCCTCAACCAAAGCCTGCACTCCTGCCCCGGTGATGAAGTTGGACTCCAAGTTCAAACTTTTCAACGTCTTGTTCTCCCTCAGCATTTCACCGAATGCCTGGGAGGAGAAAGCAGCAAAGGAAAGGTGTGAATGATCGGCTGCTGCCTGTCGACAAAAGCCATCAAAAGCCTCCAGGTCGCTCCCACTCACCACGGCGATGGGGTCGTTGCTCCGTGTGGCTGCCAGGCTGAACTTTTTCACTTGCGTGTTCTTCTCCATGGCCTTTGCAAAGTCTTTCAGCGTGGGAATGGGAATGTTCTGGAGAGCCAACAGAGTCGTGTTAGCGTTGGTCGCAGGTTTTGGTGAGCATTAACGCACTCTGAAATATTATGTTCCGCGTACCTTGATGTTGTTGAGGTTAACCTCGGTTAAGGTGCTGTCGTTGTTCTTTATCCTCTGCAGAGTTTCTTCTACATTAGTGGGGTTGGGAGGCTCGTCAAACACTGGATTCATCTTCTCTCCTTTGATCACATCTGGAAAAAAGTCACATAGGCAGAGGTCTAGATCTTGATCCTTTAGGGAGTCTTTACAGAGTTGAATTCTTCCCGTACTCACTGTTATAACCTTCTTTGGATCCAGTCCCATCGTAGGTCTGATTACTGGTGACCAGAGTGTGAACACCCAGGATCGCTGCACACAAAAGCAGAACATAAATTCAGTGTCTGTGGCCAGCCTGCAGCCACGGGTGGCAAATTAGAGGAATGGTGTTATGTTTCTCACTTTTCATTCATCCATCAGCACACACAGTGAATGACAGAGCCAAAGGAAAAGCTACATGAAAGGAGTCTGTGTTTTGCTGTCCCGGGCGGACAGGAGCTCCTTACAACTCCTTCTCAATGGCACCCTCATTCTGTCTGATGTTTCTGAAGCCTTTAAACAGAGACATCAAAGCCTCCCTTACCTGCCAGATCGCACAGTTCTGTATCTGTGGCACTGGACAGAGCTTCTTCCAGTTCGGGATCGAGGGTCGTCACTTCTTCCTGGCGTGTCTCTATCGGCTTCTGCTTAGGAACAAACGCTTTCCCTGTGGATACAGAACATGGACATTTCACTGGAACTGCAAAGTCATAGGTGATTAATAATAAAAACAGAAATGCCGAAAGATCCAAGCTCTTAATAAAAACAAAACAAGTGGTAAGTCTTGTTTATCACTCTCTTAAATGTTTTGTGCTGCAGTCAAAAGGCTGCATGGCATCCTGGGTTGTAGAAGTGATGGCCCACCAGCAAATATATACCAAAAACAAATAGACAGTTTAATCTAAACACATAAAACGATTTGGATCCAAGGAGTTATATTTGATATTTCTCTTTAACTTCAGCAGGATTTTCAACCTTTTGAAATGTTGCATATTTGCATGTTGCCTGTTTTCAACTTTAGAACAACATCGATGCGGGTACAAACTAGAAGACCCGTCTCCGTAGATCTGAGAGAACATAAGAACATGCTTAGATCTCCTGCTGTTTTGCACAACATTCCCCAAATGTCAGAAAGGCTGAACTTCAGCAGTGGCTGCGACAACCATCATATTGCCATGGCAACCTAGCTGAGTGAAGAAACGGAAAGCGTAAAGGAAGTCATGGAACAATGAGCAGAGTTGAATGTAAAAAGCGCTGCTTGGGTAACAAGCCCTAGCAGACGGTACAGTGGGGGCCTTTAGCCGTCCCTCTATGCCCGTCTCCTCAAACAGACCACCCCAACAACAGGCCCTCCCTCTTCCAACTCATTCAAGCCACTCAAATTGTTCACACTGGTCCCCAGTGGGGGCTCTGGCACTTCCTGAAAGCCAGTAAACAGTAAATACAGTCATTAGGCAGCCTGCAGAGTCAGTCCCTTTGGAGAGACGTTTAACTTGTTGACGAGTCAAGGCAGGACGAGGCCAGGACAGAGGCAGCCCAAAAGTATGTTCCGTCAGGATTATGCTGCAGGAACATATCACCGAGAGCCTAACAGAGCAATTCAACCCTAAACATCACAGGGTTTAGTGTTTCCAAAAAAACACAAATCAAATTTGACCTGGACCTTCAAATCTTCTCTCCTCCAGACAGACCCAGCTACACTGTGGTGGACAACAGCTTTAAGTTGTAATGTTTGCCAGGTTTGTAGTCTCACTGTACGGCAGATATTCCACCAGGTCTCAACCTGCCATAGTTTCTGGAAGAAATGCGACTAAAGACCACCTACTGTCAAAAGATCTTAGCAGACAAATCAATCAGGAAAGTCAGAGAAATAGCACACTTATTGAAAAACAGTGAAACTCTGCAAGTATGGAGGGCCGACATGGGACAAGGCTAACTGGTTAGCAGCAAAATACTGCATATGGCTGACTTAAGAAATTGACGTATATGTTATTACCATTTAATTGCCAAATAAACTTTATAAAAAAGAATCACTTTGGATAATTTTTACCTTTCTTTTCAAGATCAGAGTGACTGGTATGAGGTAATCAAAGAAATGTGGCAAAGGATGAAGAAAATGCGTTTTTTTTAAACAGGCTTATCTGGATGAAATTCTCTACATGAGTAATCGTGCTGCATTTCCCTTCAACCACCAATAATCAGCTTTAATCAGCAGAAGTGTGTTAGTAGTGCTGACAAACCCTGAAGGAAATCCAAGACAAAAACAACAGGGCTTTAAAAAAAAAAAAAAAAAAAATTGGCCCACTACAATAAATCTAGGCAGTGACAGGAATGCAACAGTTACCATGGCGTTTAAGCTCCCCGAGGTCGTCCACCGACATGATGTGCATTATTAAATCTGGAGACAAACACTCGTGATCGCATTATTTGTCAGCAGGGGGTGAGAGCTACGCGGGGAAGAGGTTTTATCCTCGTTCCACGGAACCGCCACAGTGATTTAAGTTTTCCATGTAGTCAGGACAAACGCACTCACATGCGATTTCTAACGAACCGCTTTGGGATAGATGTTTTCAGTTTTATATTTCCTCTCCAATGGGGAAATAGCTTCTGGATCACAGAAGAAGCCAACAAGAGAAATGAATTCCTCTGGAGAAGAATTTCTACTCTGTGATGTTGCTCCCCTTATCTGTTTTTTTTTTTTATTCCTCTTTTGTCACATGAGAAATTCCACCCTTGTTTCTTTGACGCCAAACTGCCCCAAACATCTTTCAACAAAGCAAACGTCTTGACATTATATTATTTTTAGTTCCAGCAGCAACAACAATCCTTTTTTAAAGTAAAGTCCTGCCACAAACATCTCCTGTAACCTAATAAATGTGCATTCTCATCCACAACATCAAAGACTGTTGGCACGATGCATCCCGTCCTCTCCCCAATGACAGCACTACAGAGCTAACGGCTCCTACCTAAAAGCCTGACTGCATCTCAGAATATTTCCTAAAACCGGTTTCATTGGCTTTAAAATAAAGGAAAGGAGGTTTTAAAAAATTGGTTAACTTGGCACAATGAAAGATAAAAGATTAAAAAAATAATAAACTTGTGACTTTGCTCTGTTAAATGAGGCTTAAGTCTTAGATGTGCATTGCTGCTTCTGGGGAAAAATAGAATTAACAACCTGTGATTCAGCCTTCTGCTAATCAAGCTGTGATTTGCACATCTCTAGAGACAGAGCCAGAAATTTAATAAACAAATAAATACATAAATAAACTGACAACCATCAATAAAGACATGGCTTGAAGACTAAACTCCCCTCCTACTCGGACACTCCCTACCCTCCTATTCCCTGGTACAAACACTCCTCCCCCACACTGCTGTATGTTGCGTAAGAGCAGACATGTATTAAGAATAAATGAGCAGAACAGCATTTCCTGCATACAGACATACACACACATACACACAGAAACACTCTGAGCCCAAATCTCAATCAACATGTAGGGACAACTAACTTTTATTGTAATTAAATCTTTGCACAGTTTTAGCAACCAGCAGGTCAGGCGATGCTTTCCATCACTACACGGTGGAAACTGCAGTGCAACAACAGAACAAACTAATGTAAAAACAACGTTAGATTAAAGGGTTTTCAATCAAATATACTATAAAACCCAACTGCCTCAACTTCATGGTAAACTAATGAAATCTCTAAAAATGTAAATATCTTATTGGTTTTGGGAGATTTTGGTGACATTATGAAGCTCTGAATATTTTATATGAAGGAACCCCAAAAACAAACCAACAGCTAATATAAACTGTGTTTTAAACCTATTCCAGCCGAATAGCAAATCTTTATTAATCATCTGATAATAAAAGACCATGACTAGGTAATATGAAATCATGACTGGAAATTTTGGATGATAGTAAAAATGCTTTATGTTAGGCCAAAAAATGTGATTAATTTCTTAAGAATATAATTGTTTGATTCAGCACTAGCTTCAATAAACCTGTTCCAAAAGCATCCATCAACTTAATCCCATTTGAAGTAACGTGAATCCTCTCAGTCCAAAAACCTAATTTACGACATGAGGAGGCAGGGCATCGGGGTTAGTAATCCAGTCAATGTTTCCCCCTGAGCAGCACGATTCAGTCTCTCCTGGTAAGGTTTGGTAACCACTTTTTAACCTGACAAAAAGATAACTGAGGAAAAGCACTAGCGGGCACAAATGATAAGATATTTTTCCTGTGGCTATCCAACCAGCATGAAGCACCTGCATAATCCTGCATGGAACAGCTTTAAGAACAAAAGCAGACACACCTTTTTTCTCCCCGGTAAATGGCACCACATCCTCTCTGTCCTTGTACTCCATGGCTTCCTTCTCCAGGTATTTGAGCAGACTATCCCTACTGAACGGTCCTGTGGCTGTCTTAGATGTTTGATCTTTCTGACGTAAACCGGCTGGCAGGAGGGCATTCTGACGAGAGGACAAAAGGAGCAAGAATACGCCATGTCATGACCACATTCCCTCAGTTCCACTTAGGACAGTAATAAATGCAATTATGATCAATTTCATTTGGAAAAAAAAAAAAAAAGGTATCACACACGTAAGAACTTTTTTTTATATTAGTAAAGCTTCAAAGTAGCAGATTTCTTTAAGCAAACTCGCACCAGGAAGCCTATTCTACAGCAGAAGTCAAGTCGGGCATGCTGCCGGCTTCAGACAAACTGGCACGGTGACCAGCTTTATCGTGCCGTTCCTCAATCAGGGGTGCTTTGGAGTGGGAGGTGCAGCCGGGGTGCAGAGGAAAGGAAAACAAAGCACCACTTCATTTGAATGGTAGAACTTGTTGGAATGGTGGAATTCCAACAACTTTAATGGTGAGAAGGGAGATTTATGCTTTCCCATTAATATGTCTGAATATTGTTTACTGTAGAAAACACAACACACTTATTGGCCTCTGATTTTTGGTGAATTTAGGTTTATCTTATGTTAAATATCTGTTAAATAACTGTAAATGGTAGCTGTGCTTTTAGGATATAAAAAAATAGCTAGTTTTTAATAAGTGCATGGAGAAAATACACATTTTCGAATGCATTCCCTCGCCACAGCAACTTCCTCCCATTTAAGAGCCCTGGATCTCGTCCAACCCTCACTGACCTCAGGGTCCATCTCCTCCAGCGCAGTCTCCAGCTGCTTGAGCTCCTCTGCCGACAGCTTGTTGAGGATTTCATCTTCGTCCAGATCTTTGTACTTGTCCAGATCCTTCTTGTAGGACAACGCCATGGTGGCTATAGCTCGCGGGGCGACACCGAACAGCTAACGGCAGCCACTCTGTTCCTGCTCAGGCTCTCTGCGCGCGGCCAAGGGGACCCCTGAAAGACAAGAACATGTAAGTTCACACTGGAAGATGGAGCAGAAAATGCAGACAAGCGATGATTTCCCGACACGGTTTACGTAATGGTGTGAACAATAGCCGCGCACAGCTGGGCCGGGTAACAGCCTCGCAGTGATCTGTCGGTGATGCAATACGAGCGCACAGCTGGAACAAAGGAGGAACTTTCTCAGGCTCAGATCATCCGACTACTCCCATAAGGGTCACAAACAACTCGTCCTGCGCACAAATAATCAACATCAAAGAAGAAACAGCACAGGCTGCGAATGAACATGGAATCAGTGGGTTTTTTTTTTTCCTTAGGAACCAAATTCCTAAACAGAACATGATAGTTCAGATTATATCAAATTCAGATAAGAGCCCTTATGTGTACACTGTCGAGCTTACAGTCAGCTTCTCTGTCCCACGCCACAGTCCCAACACAAAATGACCTCATCGTTTCCAGATTCCCCACAGATTCTGATTTGTCCCCTTTTTCACTCATGTACACTTAACGTTTACTTTTTCCAATAACCCTGTCACGTTTCACTGAAAAGTAATTTTGCACAGGCAAAGTTTTTGTGAATAGGCAAAATGTTTCCCTTGTGCTTTGCATCAGATGGCCATTAATGAAGCTGAAACAAAATAACTGTCTCAGTTGAAGCCTGAATTCAGACACCACCAAAGCCATTGGTGTTAACTCTAAAACACAGCAACTTCTCTGAACTCAGCACAAAAAACTAAACAAACACCATTCATGTCTGTGATTGAGGAGAGTATTCTTTTATACATGGGGTGCTAGCTCCTTGGAGCTTCTTGAGTGATTTCTCCACTCCAGAGAATTCCCACAGGAGTCCCACACCGTCTGTGTCTTTAACATTGTTCAGTTTCTTTACACAATCCAGGCTCTGTCCTGGACTAATTCTTCCCCTCGTCTTCCACATTAGTGCACTGAACACACACATTTGTAACAGGAGGAGAGACGTATAGGGTCGATTTGCAAAGCTGGGGGAGCGGAGATGACGCTAAAGTCAAATCATAACTCACTCATAACTTTAATCAAAGCATATGAATATAATGATCCACAACAATAACCCCTAATGTTCTGCTGGAACAAGGCTTAATCGGTTCCTGGAAAATGAGAGTCAGTACAGTTCAATTAGTTTTAATTCAAATCTATACTACCATTTATGCTAACAGTGGAGAAGAAAATAATCCATTCAGACTTAACTGAAGCTAATCCTATGGTGTTTAACAAGTTATGCACTGAAACAACCTAAATGAACATTCATTCTATCAAAATTAAACGTAATCCTGGAATGTATTTACAAAGAAGACACTCCTTAAAATTACAAAGTGAAAACAGGATTTTCGAATAATCCCACAGTCCAGAGAATTGCTGTGCTAACTCAAATATCAACTGCATCCACCAGGACTTGTTTCCGACGATGTCATCTCGCATCTCGTTTTCCATAGATGTAAAATGGCAAACAAGATGTGACACTGGTTCAGGAAAAGCAGACTACTGCAGATTGAGATAAACATTTGTCCTAAAAATCTAATGCTCACATGGCAGGATTAGACCAAAAACACATTTTCTCTTGTCTGTAAATCCAGAGACATTATTTGCCGCATTCAATACGCAAAGTCATCACTGAGGCTTAAGACTCAAAAGTGTGCAGACAGAGTAGTAACGGCACATTCAGACATGGATAATGATGGCAGTAGGTGGACTTGGGTCGGGCTGGAGACACAGAGAGGATACATTACCCCAGTCTCACTGATTCCTTTCGCCTTCTCCTCGCTGCTAATCCTTCAAGACAACAACAGATGGCTGAGAGCCAATAATGCTGCAAACCTGTGAGTACTCAACACTCACCTTGAGCTTTCCTTCACTGATCTGGGAATTCAGGCTACTGGACACAGCCACAAACAACAACGTCTCCTAACAGATGAAATATCATGAGCTTATTTTCATCCAACTGCAATTAGTACACCTAAAATACCAAGAAGTTCTGAGGCATATGGAGATATTAACACTGTCAAAACAGCCACCCATCTTAAAGAAACAAAGTCAGGAATACTAAGCAGAATATAGACTATAGTCACTTTGTTTATCTATGTATTTAATATACAACACTACCCAGTTTCCAGAACTATTTAGATCTCAGAAACCTGAAGCTATTCACAAATGGAAGATGACACAGAGAGTGGTGGCTGGCCCCACCAACATTCAGAAATACTATAGTTAGAATGACCCAGCTATTCTACTCATGGGACAACAGTCTGTACTTTTGCCTCCCGCCTACTCTCCCCTGGTTTTAACTCTGTATCATTTGTGTCTCCACCTTGTTCTCGGTGGCGGCTTTAGTGTTCAGCCTCCTGCAAGTGAGCGCCAGACAAACAGAGGACGTGGAGCAGACGAAGGCCTGACCATGCGAATACTGAAATACATGCTTAATTAATAATGACAACATATGCTTAAATCTTAATTGGACTGATCTCACAACCATTTAAGATCATTGAACTCTTGAAAAATATCCAGACAGGATGTTGGTTGTTTTCCCAACAAACACACATGATTTGTATATTCCCTTGTTGTGCACACCCACTTACAGACACACACACGCTACACTATTATATAATGAGGACGGTGCCTCGTCCCCACAGGGCCAGTGCAGGAAAAATGCCTGATTGAGAAAGTTTTGCCACTGTTACATCTTCGTTAAAAGTAATACCGTATCTTCTCAAGTCCTGGTTTCACTCTCCAGCAGATAGGTGACAGTAAAACCTGTTTATCAGCAGTATTGTTTGGAAGAAGGTTATATGGCAAACAGTGTTGACCAAAATTGTAATGTCAGCAGCTACAGCCTCCACATTCCCACCTTATCGCAATACCTGCTTCACAGCCTCAGTAAAGCCAGCGAGCCTTCAGCCTTAAAGGGGAAACCAACGCTTCACTAAACAGTCACTTACTTAAGACTTCTTTAAGAAGGGTGTGGCCTCCATTCACAACCGAGCCGTGCTGGTAAAACTGCTTTTGGTGAGCACACATAGAAGATATCCATTATTCTTGAGCTAAGGAGAGTGTGTCAGGACAATAATGACACAGGTACAATGACATTGCACTTCACCAAAAAAAAAGCAGTTTACCTGCTAAAGCCACAGCCTTTCCCTCACACTGGCGTGAGTCACCCCACCAAAGGTATGTCTCTGATGAACACTGAAACTCTTGTCCTGGTCAAACAAACCAACACAGAGGCTACTCATGACTGACTTCAAATGTATTGTTTGGTTTACAGGGGTGGGCAGCTGATTAAATCAACTCTCTATATTCCGTTAGCCACAGTGAATAATCATAATAAAGCAGCAACCAGAAATATGGATCAAACTCAAAATGATGAAACAGAGAGGAGAATTAAACACATATTCATTAAGAGTGGTGTCTTAGTGAGAACTTAGCTGCCATCATCTTATCTAGACAGCGGGCTGTCGAAAGGCGTTAGCTAACCCCTTCTTGACATCTTTAGATTTATCAGCTGACAAATAACACTTTGACTGTAATTACAACCACCTGTACAAGGCTCCCCGTTGTTGGCCGAGCTATAACTAAAGCCATACGAAGCCGTTTATAACGGCCAAACTCTGATAACTTAATTACATCTCACGGATGCAGTGGGTGAGATGCACAGGCTAACAGGCTAAGCTCCACAGATGACTCAAGTCGCTAGCCGTTAAGCTAAAGCAGACAGCTACAAGCAACAGTAACAGTGTGGGGGAAAAATATGCAGCTGTCCATGCCTCCAGGTTAGTTTTGTTATTTTACAGAGAGTAATTTAATAAAAACTCCCTACCTGAGGTGAGTGTGACCTCACTAGAGAATCTCCAAACAACACCAGTCCTCCCAGTGACTGCGGTAGTTTCTGTGCTGAGTTTTTCACTGAGTCCAACGAAGGGCGGCAACACAGGAAAAGGGAAGCCAGGCTCTCGCGGAGTGACGTGTAGTTGAACCAATGGGAGTAGAGAATAAGAGGCGTGAACCAATAGTAGTATTTGACCCACCTACTTATCTATAAAAGATTATTACAGGAGTAACAGGGAAGTAAAAAAATAAAATTGAATCAAATCGATGAAAAACACGTACTAAAATAGATTTGATCTGATACCATTCCATTTTTAACAAAAAAATCAAATAAACGGAATCAAATCAAAATTAGCTTTTTTTTTTACTGCAGTTATGAAGGAAATAGTGAAAAATGACCTTTGATGGCAATGTATGACATAACTTTGTTTACACCTCTTAGTTATTATTCAGACATTAAGAAAAACAGATTAATATCAGCAATATCAGGTTAAGATAATCTAAACAGCCGGGTACTCTATCAGCTATTTATTTAAGGTAGTGCAATCTATAGCCGTTATATCAACTACTTTCTTTACTTTGGATAAGTTAAACTGATTATGAGACTGATTATATCCATAGACAAAAAAGACACATCTGCACAAATGCTCACCTTTGTGTTTGACTGAGCCTGGAGCCTGGATGGGTATTAGTCTATAGGGGGATTTCCCCCTATAGACTAACACCCATGGACAAATAAAAATCATATTTTTTGTCTCTCTAACAAATACACAAAATACAATTGCACACTATAGAAGCCTTTCATTACTCTTCAACTGTACCAATCACAGAGAACGAATCTCTCTTTTTCACTACACAGATACACAATTGTGGATATAGAATTTCATGTCCCCTCTCAGTCCAAACAAACATGCACTGTAACAACATGCCCCGCTAGTAACACAGAAACTCAGGGAAGAGATGTTGAGCTGATTTAAAGCATGCACCTGGTATCAGATAAGAGATGCTTATCAGCTGAAGGAGTAGAGATGACCTCAGAGAAGGGCCATGTCCATAACTAGTTGTTTGCTTGACATGCACAATGTTATTTATATTAATTAAAATAGATAAGAACATGGGATATGATACTATGTATGTCCTTATTATAGGGCGACAGAGCACCTGTCAACACAGATTATCCCCTAAAAGAGGATATTCCTTCATTTTGGTTTATCTTACATAATTCTTAACATATTACTTGAGGCTAAATTAGATTAAATGTGTTTTAATAACTGATACGGCTCATTAACTCCCTCTATCTATGATCTACATTATCTGTAAAAATGGTGTTTTTCATTTTTTTAACTGCTTTCTTGATCAAGGAAAGTGGTCAAGTGGTAATTTATAGAAATAGAAATGCCTCACGAAAAGTCTTGGGTGAGGGAAGTTCAACACTAACTTTTGCTCCTTGCTTAAAAATTTGGAAAATGTAAAAATATCAAGATCAGAAGTCAGATGAGTCCAAACTTTGACAGGATTTAAATAAAGATGTAATAACAATGTGTATGAGATCACCACTGAGACTCTTGTATCTCTCTGTCAAGCTGATCATTGAAGGATTAATTTTTTCTGTGTAGTTTTCCACACAGGATTTCTACTGTAAACTACAGTGGTTACACAGCCGGTTCTGATTCACAAAAACACACATTTTGGGTCTTACGTAACTGGTGAAAAGCAATAGAAATCCATTAAAACATTTTCTTAGCTAATTGTTCTCATCACAAAACAAACATGTCACCAGACACTTTTCTTCCGCACTTTATTTTCCCAAAACATAAATTTGTGTATCTAAATTCCGTAAAAGGTGAAAGGTTAAATGCATTTTTATCATATTTTTGTGATATAAATGTATTGCCAGTTTTATCATACGTATTCATCTTTTGCATGCAAAAAATGTTACCATTCATAACCTGGAAATCATTTTATTAAAAAAAAAAGATGTGGCAGCAATGTATTCCTTTTTTACTTTCTCTTCATCATCATCAGTCAAGTTGAATTGACTAATGACAACGTACCAGATAATCCTCATATAATAGTATTTAACTTTGTACAAGAAAAAAGTTTAAATACTGTTATGTCTTTATACGAGATCCAGTTTTTGTTTCACATAAAACAATTGTAGTTGTCAAAAAAAGGGTAGTAAGTAACCAACAACACAAGTTTAACGATAAGTTTGTTTCAGGAAAGTTTAATCAAGTGATTAAACGATATCTAAATGGGACAGATGTTTATTGACATCATATAAATGGACGGTGACACACGGACTATATCGTGACGTATACCGCCCCCTGGTGTCTGATTCACCACGTCATCCGGAACTTGACCCGGAAACAGAACATTAAAACCGGCGATCACTTCCTGTCGGTCAAAGCTTTCCACGGGCTGGAAGAAATGGCGGACATGGATGAATTGTTCGGGAGCGATGGAGACAGCGACAATGACCAGAGAGGTAATGAGCTCTTCCAGCTGCACATTGCTCATATAAATGATTAAAGGAGCTTATCTGGGCTTTCTTTGCTTTTCCGTGGAGCAAAACACAAAGCGGACTTCCTCATTATATCGGCAGCTCAGAGACGTAAATTCTGCCTATAAACGATAGAAATAAATGCTTTGATTACTTTAAAACACCAGCCTGAAAAAAAATGTATCTCTTGCAATTAACCTATTGCATGTTTGGGTTCAATAAACAAGTCAGCAAAGAAATAAACACTTTTTTGTGGGATTTAATGTAAAGTCCCCGAGCGTAGATTAAACCGATGGACTTCATCTTTATTATCACAGCTTGCCACATGTTTTGATCATCCAGATGTGAAGCATTGCTTTTAGTTTGTCCTGTAAATAGTCATTTTAAGACGAGAACAAAGCCTGAGATACTTAAGAGATTATTTATTTAACAAGATCCGTCAACCAGTGCAGAACACATAATGTTCTATGGACGTAGGTAGAATCTTTATGCCCAAGATGGATGTATTTTATTTTATTTGAACAAAGAGCTTTTCAGTTAGTTTTTTTGAGAGAAAAGGCTGTTGTTGTTATTTTAGCCAGAAAATGAAGGATCAAATCATTACTGCGTTGATCTTGTTTATGAGCAAATCATAACAAAAACCAGTATTATTATAATGCAGGATATACAGAAATGTTGATAACATCGGCTCAACTGTTTCAAAAGCGATGGGGGCATGAATAAGTGTTAAGTTTTGCATCCATTTCACAGCAGACATATCCAGTTTAAAAATGAAACGGTACTGTTGTGCATGGTCTGCAACACAGCTGTAGTCCCTAACACCAAACATCAACGTTTGCTTCTGTCCTTAGCTGTAAAGACTACAAAGACAGTGAATGTAACCAGAATCAGAAACACTTTAATAATCCCAGAAGGAAATTATTCTAAACAGTGTTCTATGAAAAAATAACCATTCAGTCAAATGAAGTTTTGAGGATAATGTTTGTAAAGTCCCAGAGAAAAACCCGTGTGTAAGAGGGTAACCAGTCTCCTTCGTCCCTTTGCAGAGTCCGGCTCTGGCTCCGGTTCAGAGTCCGAGCAGGAGAGACCCCGATCGGCCAGCAACGCTTCAGCCAGCGGCAGCGACAGCGAAAGGGAACGAGACGACGAGGACGACGACGAAGGCCAGGAAACGGGGAAGCCCAGCATGAATAAGGTTCGTGGCTCCAGAAAACATCAGTCAGTCGCTCCACATTCTGTAAATGCTGCCTCCTCTCTCCAGATGAGCTCTGCTTTTTTGGGCAGCACAGCCAAAAAAGCAGAGCTCAGATTTTTTTTCTATAATTTTACACTCTGGTAACCTGGTAAATGGAATTCTTCCCAAGGAAACAACCACACCAGTGCATGTTGACTCATCTTCTACAAACCATGGTTACTCACGGACGTTATTAGAATTCTGAATGCATAAATCCACCCCTATAATTCAGTAATTGATGGTAGAAATGTTGTTTAATCAGCACCACTGGCATAAAAATTGTCAGAGAAAAGACCTGTTTTGTGCACACATAAAACCAGATAGTTATTTAAACAGTTATCTAGCTGTTGACTCTCCTAAAGGATGGCTCTCAAGAGCCTTATTCAGCCTAATAATCACTTATTTTTTTGTCTTGCTAAAAATATTTAACTGGTTCAAAGGTTTGTGTCTACACACAGTCTAATGTTACCGTTTTTAATGTCTGCTCATTTTGTGGAATTATTCTTATGTTCTTTGATAGTTGATTTGTGGATTTCTGTGTGGTAATAACATTCACCTGAAAATGTTTTTGTTTTTTTTAATTGAAAAAGCTTGCATTCCTCTGTTTGCGTGCGACAGGAGCTGTTTGGAGACGACAGCGAGGACGAGCAGAGGAGCCAGCGCAGCGGCAGCGACAACGACAACCAGTCCGAGCACTCGGGCAACCGGTCGGACGCCAGCATGCACTCGGACCAGGGCGACCACGACCCCTCCGACGCCGAGCAGCACAGCGGCTCCGACCGCGATCACGACGAGGACGACGAGGACGACGGGGGCCAGCGGTCAGACGCAGGCAGCCCGGCGGGCAGCGGGCTGTCCGGCGCCGGGAGCCCCCGCTCGGACAGGGGCAGCGTTCGCTCGGACAGAAGGTACGGCAGCTCGCTCAGGGCCGGCCGAAGGTGATTTAAAAGAGGACGAGGAGGCTGTTCAGACATGCAGGGATTTATTTATCATCAATTCTCAAACAGTGGGATGCTTTAGCTGTGAGAACAGCAACTCGAACAGGGGGGGTCTTAGCCGAGGCTAAGCCTGCGGAACTGTCAGGCATTGTTTCGTGTGTTGGAAGAAACCAATCAGGCAAACTTTGACAGGGGATGGCGGGTCACGGGGCGTAAGCATCCAAAGTGGCGCAAGGTCCGATTCCACCGAGGACAAACAGTTGCGTAACCCTGGAGTCCACACAGCGGCCACGGGCCAGCCGGTGTCCACGCCGAGTCCCCAACATCTGAGCAGGGCATGACATGCGAGGGATAAAATGCAGTTACAAATCCCCTCTGGCATCACCGGGTGGACGGTGTGCGAGTGGAACGCGGGTCAGGAGAGGTGCTGGAATTATTGGGACACCACGTGCGCCCCCTTGTGGCTGGTGTGTCCCCTCATGGTGGTATGGTGGTGGTGGGGGGATGTCTTTCAGCAGGAAAACACTGCAGGAAATAGTTTAGGGATGGTTTTTGTTGTACATCTGTGGAATGGGCCCTAAGCGGACTTTAGTAAACACAAAAAGATGTATATGAACAAATATTTAAAGGCCTGCCTGTAAAGTCGGATCCACAGAGGTTGTTCTCAGACCCTAAACAAAGTCTTAAGGTATCTTAAATTCTGTATTGCACAGAAAACAGCCAATTTATTTGATTCACAATTGTATTTTTGAGCCGCTAAAAAATGAGTTTGAATGTCCATTATGTGTTGTTTTTGGGGAATATTCCCTCCTCTCACGTCAGCGCGTTGTTGTTTTTAATCCCAGCATTCGCAGCGATCCCAGGACCCCGCAGTCAGGGCCCGGCACCCCCCACTCCGAGGCGGAAGGCTCCGGCCGCGAGAACCAGTCAGACGACGAGAAGTGGGGAGGAGGAGCCAAGAGCAACCAGTCAGACGACGAGGAGGAGAAGCGGCATTATTCCGATGAAGACAGGGACAACTCCGACGACGAGGGGCTGAAGAACAGGGACGCAGGTACTAACATGCCATTCCCCGAGAGCCGCACACGGACTGAAACACGAGGATCGCAGTTAATCTCTAAAACATGCAAGATTTTACGGATTAGTGAACATTTTTTACCCCCGAGCTCTGTAGTCAATGTGTCTTTGAGCATCTCCTTCTCCAAACACCTTTCTCAGAGTCCCCAAAGGGCAGTGATAGCGAGGAGGAGTTCATCAGGCAAAAAACCAAAGCCAAGGCCGCCTCCGATTCAGACTCGGACAGCGACTTGGACAAAAGTAAGCCACGCTTTGCTTTGCTTCGCTTCACCAGGTCTGTGGGACTTTAACCGAGGTTCTCTCTTTCCTCACCCTGTTCCACAGCAAAGAAGACGGCCGCCGACGATCTGTTTGGAGAGGCTGACGACATCTCCTCAGACAGCGATGCGGAGAAGCCCCCCACCCCCGGACAGCCCCTGGTACCCCTGTCCTCTACTCTGAGCGTCATCCTTCTCGTCAGGCCTCACCGAGCCGATCCCTAACAGCACAGGTTTTTAAACCACTGTGTTTTTTTTGTTTTTTTTCTGTTCAGGATGGCGAGGATGGGATGGATGGAGATCAGCCCGAAGAGGAGCCCGCGCCCGAAACGCGCATCGAAGTAGAAATCCCCAAAGTCAGCACAGATCTGGGATCTGACCTTTATTTCGTTAAGCTGCCCAACTTCCTGTCTGTGGAGCCCAGGTCAGGACCCCCAGCCCTGCCAACACGCAGTAAATGTGTATAATGTGGATTTCTGAACGTTTCTGATGTCTTCGTGGGGATTTTTCCCATGTCTCCCGTCGCAGACCCTTCGATCCCCAGTACTACGAAGATGAATTTGAGGATGAGGAAATGCTGGACGAGGAGGGCCGGACGAGACTCAAACTCAAGGCACGCTCTCCTCCTCGCAGCCTGGAAGAGGCGGGCCATTTTGATTGACGCTCCTTTGGCCCCCAGACCTCATCGGAGTTTGTCTCCACAGGTGGAGAACACCATCAGGTGGAGAGTGAAGCGGGACGAGGAGGGGATCGAGACGCGGGAGAGCAACGCGCGCATCGTCAAGTGGTCCGACGGCAGGTGCGTGCCACACGGAGCGGCGTGCCGTGGGTTGTTGGCGCCGGACCGACTCTGTAGTGAGGTCTCCCCGTTCTCCCCGCAGCATGTCCCTCCACCTGGGGAACGAGGTGTTTGACGTCTACAAAGCCCCTCTCCAAGGAGACCACAACCACCTGTTCATCCGGCAGGGCACCGGGCTGCAGGGCCAGGCCGTGTTCAAAACCAAACTCACATTCAGGTGAGTCACCGACAGGCCTTTGTTGTGTCAACAGCAACCCCCCCTCTCATTCAGAGACGCACAATAGAAATAGCTAGGGGTACTTCCTGTCAGATGAATGTACGCTAAACAAGCCCCGGGCTACCCAGAGCAATAATCAGAATTCACCCTCCATTCAGAGATGTTCTTTTTTGCTCTAAGTCCTGGAGCACCTTATACAAACTTCCAGGGTTTCTCCCAGTAAGAGCTGTGTAAGCCTCTTAGTGCCCCCAAGTCCACCTGAGTATTCTGTCTCTCAAAACCACATGAGACTCATGAAACGGCGTCCAAAACACGCCCGAGTGCACAACGGCCCGCCAGGCTCAGGCCAGACAGAACATTACGGTTTGTTCTGGTTGAGTATTATCATCTGAGCCCAGAATTAAGATTAGGGCTGCCCAAAGCACAAATGATGAGGGGGGCAGCTTAAAAAGGAGCTTTAAGGAAAGATTTAAGCCTTTCGGAGGAATGAAAACAGAATTTTGAGTTGTTGTTTTTTTTCCTCCTGTCGTTTCTGCTAAATCATGAGGTTTAGTTTGTCTGGCAGACTAGAGATTTTGAGACGGAGAGAGCTTATCTGCCTGTCTCAGGAAATCAACGTGAATAATCTGTATGAAAGTTTTTTAATTTTTTTTTTCTTTTTAAATCCATCTGAGAGAAATTGGGGGGACACAACAGCTTTTTGCTAATGCTTCCACTTTGTTTTTAGTCTTACTTTTCATTTAGCATTTCAAACACTAAGTTTGAAAAAATGTCCACCTCGATAGACTATAGAGTGTGTTTTAATAAAAACATCCATTGTGTATTTGCAATTCCAGGCCCCACTCCACAGACAGCGCCACCCACAGGAAGATGACCCTGTCTCTTGCCGACCGCTGCTCCAAAACCCAGAAGATCAGAATCCTTCCCATGGCCGGCAGAGATCCAGAGTCGCACCGCAACGAAATGATCAAAGTAACTAACGCCGGCTCTGCTTCTGTCTGTCCCCAAAACAGCCAGAGGAGTTTGCATGAGGCCAGTTGTCGACAAGCATCATGCCCGGTTACATAAAGGCATAATCTAACAGTTACATAACGAGGTCGGGCAGTTGCCAGTGAAATGGAAACATGGTCAGCATGTCTGCTGGGCCGGTTTTGGTTTCACCGTCATCCCTGACAAAGACTCGCGCTGGCATCGTTTCCGCCCGCCTGAAACAACAGGCACCTCCTGAACAGAGAGCACGTTGTCCGACTTCTTAACAACGGGCACTTGCCTGTATTCTTCAGCATATCCCGCCAGCTGTTTGTTTGTCAATCAGGAGCTTAATTACCTGGACAAAAATTCGGAAAAAGGGTGCCAAGAAGGCCTTTGGCCAGCAAATACTGAAGGAAAGCCTTTTCTTTTGTTCCGAAATGTGCAGTTCAGTTCAGTGTGTCCGTCAGCATGCTTAATGACAACAGTGAAAGGTTACAGAACCATTCAGGCCAATTAGAATCCAATTCCTGATGAGGGGGAAAAGAATCCATTCAAGTCAAAGAGCCGCTTTATTCATCCGTGCGGAGAACCGAGTTGTGTCAGCGAGGTGGAAATACCCAGAGATGTTGACTGAAAAATAGAAAAAGGGAAACTAAACAGCAAGGCACAGCAAAGGGCATACAGGCAGGTCATCAGATATTTGTTCATATACATCTTTTTGTGTTTACGAAACATGTTCAGGCTCCAATTATTTAGACCGTAAATACAAACTCATCTTCAATTTTAGGATATTCACATTCAGACTGCAAATGGTGCGTAAGGGAGGTCTGTCAAACCAATATTTACATACAAGTTGGCACAATTTTCCTGAGATCCTAACGAGATATCTGTGAAATGCTTTTGGAAGCATATGACAGGATAAGGTAAGATTGGTTTTAGGGAAGGAAGTCCATTCATCTTCTGGCCACAGTGTCTACATTTGTGCATTTCTCCCCTGAAAGGTGGCTTCCTATTTTCTATAAAAGATCAAGATAGAAGATAAAGTTGACTTTGCTTTTTCAAGCCTCACCAGAAAAACACAAGGGGAAATAGATCTGATGTCCCACTGGGTGGAATAAATGTAATATGTCTTTGCGATAGACATTGGTGCTCTGAATTGGGCCTTCAGACAATCCGGGGTTGCTCCTGTTAAGCGTTCATGCTCCGTACGTGTCGTTTTGTTGGGGCTGCTGTGACTGATCCCTTGTGGTTTTGGAAGATGCATCTCGTGTGCCATCTCTGTTTTTGATGGATAATGTTGCATGCTCTGGGCCCTTCTGCAGTCATCAGTTTTGTCTTCGGGCCTTTTACGTCGCACTGCTAGCTGGAAGCATTTTTCTCTCTCAGAACTGTTGATCCCTCCAGTCCTAATGTTCCTGTTGTCTCCTTGAAAAATGCCTTGCTTTGGCCTTTCAGGAATAACTTGTTTTAGAGCTCTTATAAGTAAACGCTGCTGGTTTTAGCTGCAAATGGTAGCTGGAATCGGAACATAACGATAAGCCTTCATAACTTTGTGCATTTAAGTAGAATCCCCAGAAAAATTATTTGACTTTTCAAAGCCTTCGTTTTTGATAACTCGAAATCATGAAATTGTTTATTTTTAACGTTGTTGTTTCGCTCGTATTATTAACATTAATTGTATAAAAGAATATTTGATACAATAACGTGAGCTAATTCAGTCCACACAATAGTTTTTAATTACAATAAATGAATGAAAACCTAATGTAAAAAGTGGGCGACATAGATGTATAAATACGGAAATCTGATAAGCTCATATGTAACCATAAGGAAGTATATTCTCTTTTAGAAAGAAGACATTTGCATATACTTTGTAAAATGTTCCATGTATTCCCAGCCTACAAAGACTGAGCCTTTCCGCTCCAGTTCGGTCGTGCGAAAATGTCAAAGCTCGTGTCAGGATGCCGTATGAAATTAAAGCCGGGCGTCTGTCTCGGCAGAAAGAGGAGGAGCGTCTGCGGGCGTCCATCCGCCGCGAGTCCCAGCAGCGCAGGATGAGGGAGAAGCAGCACCAGAGAGGCCTGAGCAGCAGCTACCTGGAGCCCGACCGCTACGACGACGAGGAGGAGGGCGAGGAGGCCATCAGCCTGGCCGCCATCAAGAGCAAATACAAGGGGGGAGGAGGCCTGAGAGGTGAGGGGATTTTCCTCTGCGTACCACACTGAGGTTTTCGGACATCTCTAATGTCTTGCGAACAATATTGTTGTTTTTTTTTCCATCAGAGGAGCGAGCTAGGATCTACTCGTCGGACAGCGACGAAGGCTCCGATGACGACAAAGCCCAGAGGTTGATGAAGGCCAAAAAGTTGGACAGTGATGAGGTAAGCGCAGTTCTCCGGTGGGAAGACAGGGGGCAGCGGGAGGCCGGACCGGAGCGGCTGCTCCACATTATCTTTACTTGACCCGAACAGTACACCAAGTACTGGAGGGATTTCCAAATCCTCTGACTGCTTGTCCCTAAAAAAAACGGCTGAATTAGGCTGTACTCGGGCAAAGCGAAGGTCTCGAAAAGCTTCCCAGGACGTGTCAGCACTGTGTCATCTAACTTTTCCTCTGTCACCCTCAGGAGGGCGAGGGCTCGGGCAAGAGAAAGGCAGAGGACGAGGAAGAAACGGCCACCAAAAGGGCAAAGAAATACGTAATCAGCGACGAAGAGGAGGAGGAGGAGGAGGAAGAGGACGATGAATAATTTAGCTTTGATTTTTTTTTAAAAATCATTCCACTGTATTGTCAGTGCTAATCCCACCTGGCTTATGAACAGCCGGTTTGCATTGTATATTTTTTCTTATGACCTGTGTGTGGGGGAGAGTGCGCGATTGTGTCTTTGCTTGTTTTCATTGTGTACAGCAGAGGTGAGAAATAAATAGTTGTCTTATGTAACCGCAGCTTCCCGGGCACACCGTCTCTCTTTTTTCAAACGTCATGAATCATGCATGAGACACACAATAGGCGTGAGGTTATGAAACACAGCGTTTAGCCGAGTTTCCAAACAACAACAACAACAGAACGTTAATGAACAGTGAATGTTTTGCGCTTAAACATAGAGTCTGCACCCTCCCCAGCAGTGCTTTACGTGCACGCCGGCCTAGCTCTGAAAGGTCTCGCAGTTCATTGTGCCGTGCTGGAACAATGCCCTGGAGGAAAGCACCGGGGAATGCACTCGCTGGGAAAGGGGGGTAAGCAAAACTTACCTGACAGGAAAGGCAAGAGATCAGAGGATTTGGGAACTGAAACAGAGGAGCCACTGTGCTGTGAGAGGAGATGCTCCCTCAGACCTCCTGCCAAGGCGGAGGAAGACGAGCAGGGGCACAACCGAGAGTTTAAACCCAGCAGAAATCACTCTGGAGTAGACACAGTTTCTTGTCTGCTGGTGGTCCACCACTTGGAGTACACAGTGTTAGATTATGGATTGCACGCTGTCTCTCTCCCTATTGAGCCGTTTAGTTTCTGCAGGAAACCTCAAATCAGCCTGTTTGCAGCACCGATTGGCTCTCAAGCTTACAGGAAGTTCAAAGATTTTAGAAGCTGTAAAATCCTGATATAAAATAGAAACAAATGCAAATATTTGATCTATGAAATTCAAATGCACATAATGGATCCCGTCCTCCTTTGTTCCACATATGCAATCCCCCTTTTTTGTCATATCACATCAAAGTAACACAATGTTTAATGTCCATGAACAGTTTTAAACATTTAAAAAAGTCTAACTACTCTTCTTTTTCCTCGGTTCAATCTTCCGACGTCTGAACAGCAAATCATTCCCAGTTTTATATTCTGAAGGATCTCTCCAGAACTAAAAACTGACGTGTGAAGTGAAGAAAACATCATTATTTCTATTGCAGAAGTTTGTTTTGACACCAGTCTGAAGGGGCGTAGTACCCCACACTTTAAGTTGAATAGAGGGTTATTTTGGCTTTGTCGCACACAAAAGAGCTTCTGTCAGCACTAATTCAACAGCAGGCTGCTACTAAACGCCAATTATGTGGATGCTGTTTTGTCACATGTCACACTGCGTTGACATCTGCCTAAAATGGCTGCCCCGAATGGTTGTCTCATCTGGTATCTCTTCCTGAGTCATCTCTGTCCTCACCTCTTCATTTGAAGTGGGAGGGGCTATGACACAAACATAAGGGTTGAGAGGTGGGAATCGAATGTGTGCTGCTCAGGAAATTAAATTGGGTCATTTTAGGTGTGGTAAGATAACCACTTGAGGCCCCTCTCCATTGTTGGCAGTAACTCATAACGCAAACTTCCCTTTTCAGTCCAGTTTTAGTACATATGTCAATACATGAACTAGGTATATATAAGTATATATATGTGCGTGTCTATGTATATATCTATGTACCAGATCACACCAGAGTGGTTGGTATCTTTATCCATGTCAGTGATCCAGCTGTTAGTAAGCAAACGAGGCTGGGTGAGGTGAGGTGAGGTATTGAGACCTGATCCCTCCTGAGCCGCACAGTAAGAGGAGACCGAGAGGACAACAGTATTAGTTACTCATTCAAGTTCATCTGCCAGAATGACGCACGGGGCCGTGCACACATGGGCGTTTAGTTTGGGTGTACACGGACACACAGCAACGTGAGCGGTCCCCCCGTCCCGGCCACGAAGAGAAGGAAAAAGTCATTAAGTAAGAGTTACGTAAAAAAAAGTCTGCATCCTCCTGCTTGACAACGTGGTCACCTTCAGTGTATATGGGAGAGGTCCAGTCGAGACAGACTGGTTCAGAAGGGTTGTCAGTACCTTATGTTTGAAATAATCTCCCAGTAAGTTGAAATTTCAGAATAAATATGCTGAGATGGAATGAGGCTTATGGGCGAGTAGTACCCAACGGCATTAGCTTTCCCCTCATTAACCAGACGAGGCCTGCGTGTGTGTGCTCATACTTGCACGTGCACGCTCACAGCCCCGCGGCCGCTCGGGGCCTCTGATAACGCTCGCAGCGTGACGTGCTAAATGCAAATGTCGTGCATCTGTTGCCCTCAAAGGCAAGGTGTCGTCTGCACCGGTGTGTGCTGCGTTATCTCAGACTGCAGTGTGTTATGTAAACCCCCGTTCTTCACAGTAAGGAGAGAGAGAGAGGGAGGGAGAGAGGGAGAGGAGAAAAAAGGGGGGAGGCACTGCTACACAGTCAGCACTGAGCGAAAGGGGTGAAACAGAGGGGAGGGCTGCAGCATTTTACTCCCTTTTTTTTTTTTTTTTTTGTTGTTGTCTCCTCCCTCCACGTCTGCTTCTTTTGAAATATCCTTTTTTATCTTTATCTGAATCACTTCGGTTGTTCCCCAGCAACCAGAATCTTAGCTTACCTAACCTGGGCCAAGATGACCCAAAAGTGGACAATCGTATTTTCTGTGAAAGAGAACACGGAAGGTCAGCGAGGGGATCCACCCTCGCTGACTGTGTTGTGTTGCCTGCCGGGTCGCAGAGAAACATGCTGCGGGGTCACAATTAAGTTGGGTTCGCTCGAAATGATGTCACAGTTCTGCACTTTGACCGATTCCAAACTTCAGCCATGGATGTTTACATTTAACAAACAAATATACCAATCAAATGACCATGACATTCTGGCTGTCTGCTTCATTTGGGTGTTTTTTTTTGTTTTGTTTTTTACCACCAAAAGAGCCAAATTCAGCCCCAAAAAGTGGGAAGGTGTCTGGTACCAGGACTTTGCGAAATAGACCTGTTGGGCTCTTTGGGGTTCTGGAGTGTGAGGCTTTGTTAACCAGATCCCATCAGGAGTTTGGAGAGTGGGTCAGCATCTCGGGACACCTCAGGTTCTTCTTCTTTTTGCCCCTTCTAGGCCATTTAGAGCACCCGCTGTTCTCATTCAGAGGGAAGCTGCGTCCGTTGCCCTGTGGGTAAATGTGACCATGTCTACAGGAATTTGTAGGTGGGAGAAAAAACCGTAACATCCATAAGAATTCACCATTGAACATCTCAGAGTCTCATGATGGCTGAGGTTACACAGCGGTGCACTGACATTGATCCTTTTGCCTCGGTTCACCTCAGTGGTTTGCATGTCGTAGGCTAGCCGGTCAGCGAATATCTGGCCGTCTGCTGTTGCTTCACATGGAGACATGCGAGCACACCAGTCCATAGGTTTTGTTATGCTCTGAAATAATCATCACACAGCTTCTACTTTACACCATAATGACGTCATATTATTGTTCCAAGGGTGGATTGCATGACGTTTTCCTGTAATTCACAGGGTTTAGTCAATTAATGTCCAAAAACAAACACCTTTCCGGAGGAACTGTTAATTTTGTTTTCATTGGAAAGCTCTTTCACTACTTATTACATTCACCTCTCTCACTTGATTCTATATAATTTCTAAACTGACTAAAAAACAGTTACAGTCTAAGTACCTTGCTTGTATTTCTTCTCTGCCCTTTACCCCTCTCTCAGTACGTCCCTTTCCCCTGCTGGTGCTTATATAAGGGGCTAATAAATAAAGTAGAAACACAATACTTTACTCTCACAACAGGATCCTCACACACACTCGTGCATAACAGTGACCTTAGACACTGCTGTGAGGATCTTAGCTGGAACATTTTCCCCTCACGCACAAGCAAGTGTGTGTTATTCACACATTCGGCAACTCTGCGCAAACACAGGACTGTAACAATTCAGTGTTTTCAGTTTTTTCTCAGGACCCCAGAAATCTGGGTCAGCATGTTCTCCTGAACGACCAGGGTTTAATCTGTAAACAACAGGTTACTTTCAGCCGTTAGCTGTTCTGTTCGGAGATTACACTTGAGCTTTTCTAAAATAACAGGCCAGACGGAGAAGCAAGACAACCCTTGCAGAGCCACCGGAGTAAAAGTGGCTCCTTCCCTCAGAATGTACCATATTTGATACATACAGTTTCTGAAATCATTTGCATCTGAGACATTTCGCATCATTTAATGGTAACAACTCTTTTAGAAACCTTGTTCTACACAATCATATGCCTGATACCAGCGGGCAGAAGACTACACGACAATAATTTTGACTTACCGCACGATAATAAATTCTGAAAATTCAAAATGATTTCTGTTTATCTTCTTTTTTCATATTTTGTTAAAGGGCCCAAAATACTCGTAAGATTAAAAAGTTATACAGTTTTCTCTTTTTCTTCCTGGATCAGGCTTTAAAAGGTTAAACAGCTGATCATGTTACCAACATTGCCAGGACTTGTGTTGCAATTAAAATGTTGTTGTGAAACAAGTCATAACCCACATGTTGTGCCTGTGTCATGTATAAACACTTTAACATGGGGGGGTGTCATGGGATTGCGTGCCTGGCATAAACAACAGCTGAAAGGATGAGTTTTGTGTCAGAAGTACGTGAATTATGGGTGGTCACCGATATGATGGCCCCTCGAATAGAAATCGTGAGTCTTCCTCCAAATTGGCAGCAGCAGAGTTTATACATATCATTGTCTATTCTGCATCAACTCCTCCAGGTTATGCAATGATGCTGTACAATTCTGCACTGTGTGTGAAAGATTCTGAATAATTCCCGGCCCATTTCATGGTAAATCGAAAGAGGCATGCAGAGAAAATCTTCTCATTCGAGCACCTAGACATGTAGTTAAACTATGATTGATCTGTTGGTTTAGATTGTGCCAGTTCACTTAAAAATGAGGTCACATTAGAGAAAAAGTTCCATGTGGGTCCAGTCGAAGTCACTTAAGCTTATATCAAGTCAATACAGTCCAATTTAGTGTAGGGGTTTGTATAAAATGGGGATTTTTTTTAAAGGAATTCAAAAGATCACGAGAATGTTTTCCATTCAAACTT